GACATTTTGTACTTGAAACAATGCGCACAAGCCTAAAGACATGTTAAACAATGAAAAAAAAGAATATATTGTATTATCAATCCCGCTTTAAACGGGATAGCGCAAGCTAGTTTTATATAAAATTTATAAAAAATTTACATCTTTAAATGGAAGGGTAAATGCTAAAAATATTTAAAAAGAATATGAATGATTAATTTTAAATTATGTTTTTGAATAGTATACTTTTTATGTACCAACATCTTTTAATGCATCTATGTTTTTTTGTAATAATTTTTTAATAACAATTTTTTTTTCTATAATATCACAACACTAAGTAAAAAATTATAAAGTTATAAATACTTTATTTATTTATATACCGGTAAATATACTACAATTTGGTGATAAAGGAACTTTCTTTAATAATTTTAGCGAAAATGTAAACAACAAATCTTATTTTTTGTAATACATAATTTTATGTGACAGTTTAGCCCCCTTGTATGTTTCTTTTAATTATAAAAGATAAAAATGTAGACTACTCACCTTTTAAACATTTGTCTGTTGATGTTAAAATATTAGAAGAAATAAAAGAAAACATTTTTGATTTAGATTTTTATAGGGCTGTTATTATTTTAGGAGGAGATGGTACTATTTTACGCGCTGTACAAAAATATAAAGTGTTACCACCAATAATCGCTATAAATTATGGCACGTATGGATTTCTTACAACGTTTTGTAAAACGGATTTTATTAACAAAAAACCCACTTTTAATATTAACAGTATGTATGGATTTAAACGCAATAGACTACTTATTAACAATAATATATATTTTTTAAATGAGATAGTTCTTACATCTAGAGTTAGAAGACTTAACACGTTTTGTATAACTGTAAAAAATAAAATTGACAAATTTACTGTTAGAGGTGATAGTCTTATAATAAGTACAATGACAGGTTCCTCAGCGTACAATCATTCAATAATGGGCCCTACTTTATTAGATGATAATTGTTATATAATAAATGTTGTAGCACCTTGCAAGAGTTTATTTAGGCCTTTGATATGTAATATAACTGATGAAGTAACAGTTACTTGTAATGATGCGATATGTTTAGTAGATGGTAAGGAATATAATTATGATACTATTGATGTAAGCTGGGACGGAAATTTTGTTACTTTTCTGTCTGATAGAAAAATAAATATTTATGGAAGTATGGTAAACCTGATACAAAAAAAAGATTAAATTAGTTTAAAAGTTTATAAGTCATTGTACTAAATATTTAAACTTGCTTGAAATTTATAAAATGTTTATAAGTATTTGTTATTTATTGTACTAAGTAAATGAATTTTAATGACGGTGGTTCTATTATAGTAAAGATAAAAATAATTTAATTTTGGTATAGGTATAATTACTTATTATATACTACTCATTCTTTAATTAGATACTTCTTATCAATTTGTTTAACTCTTTATGTTGTTTTTTCATAAGTCAAAATAGAGATTCTATTTTGTTAAAAAATGTGTCCTTAATTTTTTAATTTTAGTTGTTGGGATAAAACATGGGTTTATTTAATATTTGTCATTTATACAGTAAACATGCCAAAGCCGTCAACCTAATGCTGCTGATTGGTGTGTCTACATCTTATATAACCTGCACTGATAATTACTATTGTTTTACTAATATAACTTTTTTTTCTCTTAATTGGAATTTAAGTAGATTAATGTAACAAAATATGCAGAAAACCAAAATGATTTAAATTTTTTTAACAATTTTTGATAATAAATAATTAAGTTTTATTTGATAAATTTAAACCAACTTTTTTATCACCTTGTTGTAAATATGTAAAACTTCCTTTTCTCTATTTTATGCACAATTTGTTTACCCCTAAATGGAATATGAAAATGTTTTAGGAATCTTTAGTCCTGATGGTAGACTTATACAAGTTGAATATGCACAACAAGCTAGCGAACAAGGATCATTGGTTGTTTTCAGTAGCGATAATGAGAAAATATGCGTGAGTTTAGAAATCAAAACTCACAATAAAATGTTAATTGATCAGAATAAATTACAGCTTGTTGATAAAGAGTTAAATATCTGGTATACTTTTTCCGGTATAAAACCTGATTCTTATCAAGTTCTTAATGCCGCAAGGAGTATTTGTAGGAATTATAAAATTAAAACTGGAACATCTATAACTTTTGACGAACTAGCGTATAGTCTTAGTGTATATAAACAACAGTTTACTCTTAACTCTAGTATGAGACCACTTGGTATTAGAAGTGTTTTACTACAAGTCGGTGATACACCTAAAATTTATATTGTAGAACCAGATGGTAATTATTCTGAGTACAAATGTGGTGCTGTAGGGCAAAAAAGTGTTAGTGTGTGTGATTATTTAGAAAAATGTGATAATGATGATGTTATTTTTAGAAGTATAAGTGGATTGGGTACAGTTGTGCAAAGTGATAGAAATAAAGTCAGTTCATTTATAATTACAAAAGATGAATGTAAGGAAGTTAAAGGAGATGTTGTTGGTGCAATAATAGCGAGTGTATCTGTTAATTAAATAAAGGTTATATTGATTATTGTGTTAACTTAATAATTTTATAAAATTTATTTTTTTTTAATAAAAAATTATCTTTTAGGTCAAATCGCTACAAAAAAAATCAAAATTTAGATAAGATTACCTAAAGGTTAAGAACTTTTAAAATCTAGTTTATTTTGTATATAAAACAAGAAAAATTATCTTTTATAAAAGCTTAATACGTCGTTTTAATAAGGTTATAGACAATGTTAAAAACGCACAAAGAAGTTAAGTTGCCTTGTGATAAAAAAAATGCTACTGTAATATTCATTATTTTTATAAAACGTTGCTATTATTGTTATGCAACGGCTTCTTTTTTCATTGATTTTGTTAAATTTCAATTTAATTTTTTTTACCCTTGTATTAATTTTTAGGCAAAAATTATAAAACATCAAAAATGCAACAATTATTCTTAAAACAATTTACTGAGTCACGACTGTTTTACATGCCTTTAGGACGGAAATTAGTTATAAACTTAAAGAGTGGATGATTAGTGGTGCAGTACAACCGAATACAAGTTTTTTCTCTAAGATTTATATTTACATAAGGAATACGCAAATAGAATGGATGTAGTTGCGATTTATAAAAATCTCTAAGCAAATGAGCTTTTCGCTAACACCAATTAAATTGTTGGGCTTAGAAAAAATAAAATAATACATATTTAATGTAAGCGAAAGTTCTTCACTGCATACTACAAGTTTAATCTTCTACAGATAAAATGTTACACAATATTGCATTTTATGAATTTTACCACAAAAAATTTATTCAAATTTAAGTTGACGTTACGATTTAATTTAAATTTTCTGCATCTAGAAAAATATATTTAATTTTTAAATTGGTACAAAAAAAATCCTTACAGTTAGGTTAAAAAAATGCTTTATTTTTTTTGACACCTTAAAGATTTTGTTTTATCAAAAATCATAAAAATTTAGGCATTATAAATTATCTTTTTAAATTATAATTAAAGATTCTAATTTTGTAAAAATTTGTAAATCAAAAGAAATGTTTTCGATTTACATTTGTATCAAAATATAAATAATTGGCCTGTTTGATAATTATCTATATTTTTGTTTCAAAGTGATACCATTATTTATAATTAATTATCTTACAACAATTAAAAAATGACTCTATTATTCTTATGGTTACTTAAAATAGCAAGCACTTATCTAGATTTCAAGTTAGGCAAGACTATACTTGTCTCAGCAGATGGAAAGATACTTACTAACAGCTTAATCTTGGAAGATCCTAATAATATTCATAATATTAAAACAGTTGAGTTTGTAATTATTAAGAAAAAAGAAAAAGGAAGCCTGATATTTGGATTAATAACATTCTCTGGAAAAATAGTAAAAGTTAAAAATAATAAGCTAGTAACTGATGATTCTGTTGATTTACCAGAAAATTTAAAAAAAATAGTTAATTGTTTGTTTAAGCCGAACAGAAAAGATGAAACATGTAGAGTAATTGAAGAAGAAACAAAAACGGCCACCGAAGAACATCAAGAAGAAGCTGAAAGTGAGACAAAAGAGACATTTTCAGATGAAAACCTTCCGTTTTCTCTGGACTTTAACAATGATAATACCGTTTCTATTTCTGTACGCAATACAAATTTATGTATCGTATCTTCTGATAATCTACTTCGACTAGATTCTTGTCCTGAATTGGGATTTGGAGGAGGTCCGTCGGGTTGGTCGTTTTTTAATGAACCAGATTTAACAACGAAAAATGATTTTACGTTTGGGACAACTAATCGTGTTAAATTTCATAAGATTCTTGATTTTTTAAAAGCCAGACACCATTCAGATCAAACTAACGAAGCCAATTCATTGCCATTAAATTCTTTCTTAATAGGTACAAAAGTAGGTGAAAAACTAGCTTCAAATTTACAGAATATTTTAGGACCATATCTTCACACACAAGGACAAATGAATAATCCACAAGCAACGCCAAATCCAACTGAAATTTCTTCGCAACCCTTGCAACCTGGGCCGACTGGAGTATTTTCGCAACCTTTGCAACCTGGGTCGACTGGTGTATTTTCGCAATCTTTGCAATCTGGGCCGACTGGAGTATTTTCGCAACCTTTGCAACCTGGGCTGACTGGAGTATTTTCGCAGCCATTGCAACCTGGGCCGACTGGAGTATTTTCGCAGCCATTGCAATCCGAGCCTTTTTCGCAACCTTCGCAATCAGGATCGAACGAGCCAAAAGAAACAAGTATTCTAGAAGCTCAAACTGCTAATCCGTTTTTAAAGCAGAATATAGGAACTCCGCATATTGATGACCCTCATTTATACTATCACTGGCAACAAATGTTAATGTCTTTGTTAAAAAACAATCCCAACTTGGCTTCACCCGACCCTTCAGAAAATTTATATAAAAATATAAATAAAGAGCCCCCCTTGCCTCTGTTACCTACTTTTACTGCCCCTCATACCCCTCGTGAAAATATTTTGCCTTCTGTTAATCCTACCGAGGGTCAACAAAATGACTTGCTTCAAAATCAACTTCCAATGTTGCACAAAAAATACGATGATGCTTTAAATGAACAATTAATGCCTAATTTAATATTTGCAATTTTAAAGAAATTATCAGAACCACTAAAACAACTTCAAACTTTGCCTCTACAATCTCAAGCCTTTTCTCCGCAGTCTCAAGCTTATTCACCACAACCTCAGGAGTTTGCCACAGGGAATGTTTTAAATAACCCAAATGTAGGTAGTATAGGGCAAGGATTGCAACAAATCGGATTTCCAAAAAAAATGATGAAAATTTTTTAAAGAATATGTATGAAATGGCTTAAATAAAAATATACCTAATTTAGGTGGTACTAAAACATAAAATCGAATTCTATAATAGTTTAATTTTAACAAATTCGCTTTAAACAAATAAGATGTTTTTAATTTATTTCAAAATTGGTGTATTTAATAAAATATTTAGTTAAACATTTTTTTAACAATATCAACAAATATTTCTAGTTAATTTATTTTATTTGTTCATTTTAATACAAAGTTAAAACAAAACATAATAAGAACAAAAACCAATTTAGCATCAATGCTTTTAGTAATTCTGTCTTTTATAACAGCTTCAGTGTACAGAGTCAGAATTAAAAATTTGCTTAATAACGAATATTTATTAAGAAGAGTTGACGATATAGGTCTTACAAAAAATAAAAATGCCCCTAAAACAGATTTTTTTATTGAAATACCTGATACATTGGGAAATATAAAAGATGTAGTGCTGTTTGAGCATGTCATTAAAAAATATCCAAGATATCTATTTTATGAAAAAGCAAATAACAGACTTGCTTTTCACGACAAAATTAGTAAGCTGCGATTTTCATATAACAAAGGCATCTTACAAATTAAAATGATAAATTCCGAAGAATGTTTACACATTGAAGGTGGAACTATTTTATTACGTAATTGCAACAGCAATTTAAAGAATCAGCAATTTACATTACACGAACTTAAAAAGAGGAAAGTAGAAAGAAGATTAAAAGATAACACGAAAATGGAAATAGAAGTTGAGGGACGCGATAAGAAAATTAAGGACAAAAGTATACATGACGACAATATTTATATAAAGTACAATGATGACGGCGAAGTTTATTCAACGGAAGAAGATATTAATCATATTTTTGAAGATGGTAAGACGATCGATATAATTACTGAACAAAATACTAATCAAGGAAATGTTTCCGTGTCCCAGGAAGTTAAAAATGAAATTCAAGAAGAACCTGCGCTTTTAGTAAAAGAGAATGTATCAAATATCATTCATTCAACATTATACACTACGATGATAGTTAATTCAACAGCAACAGTTTACACGACAGTTTTTCATACGATTACATCATCGATATTGAGCAATCAGACAGAAACAGTTTATGTAACACCGAATTTAACAGATAAGTTACTACAAAATACTGTTATAATGCCTAAAAGCGATGAAAATATAGCATCTGTGGCAACAATCCCCGAGAACCAATATTACCGATCCAGAAAAAGAATTTCACAAAAAAAAAAGAATGAAGATAGTATCACTCAACATGAATTGTTTCCACAAAATGATAGTGATGAACATCAACTAACAGATTCGGTAACGAGCTTTCCAAAAGAAATATCAACAATTGGAAATGAAATTGAAGAAAGTCCTGAATACGGTTCAATTTATAATCGAGATGCAGATTATTTTGAATTAAAGGCGAAAAATAACTGTTTTAATAATAATAGTCCTGAATGTAAAAGGTTTAATGAAAGTTATAACAGAAAATCGAGATTAGCGAAAATTAAGGAAAGAATATTAAAAAGGGCAAAATACTTCAATCAAAAACGACTTCTTCAGGGAACCAACTCAGCAGATTTTGATGTTAATAGTTCTAAAAATAACATTTTAAACAACTCGAGATTCGGGCTATTAACAGAAAACACTAATGATGAACAGAACATGCACAATCTTGCTCGTAATAAAACTTTTAATAATATGAAGAGCAGCTTATTTGGAGAAAGTACAAATCCAGTATTATATCCTCAGAACAGCCAGTATTTTGATGGCAATAACGGTATGCAATTGAATAGACAACGAGACGGATTGAGTGAAAGCGTATTAGAAAATAATTTTCTACCTCAACAACAAATTAATGAAGAATTATCCGCACAAAAAGTTTCTCATTCAGGTGGGTTGCTCGATTATGTTGGTTTTAATGATTCTATTGGTGATGGGTTTGCAAACCTTAATGAAAATACAATTTATTCAGGAATAAGTTTGAATATTTAATTAAATATGTTTATTTTTTGTGTATTTATTTTAAAATATCCTGTCAAATTAATTAGTGTTAAGGATGTATTAATGAAACATTAAGTATAAATAAATGCTTAACATGAATGTACTTGATATGTCAATATTTAAATAATTATAATAAAATAAACCCATGTTGAATTTTATCAGATGTATTTATAAAACATCCTGTTTTGGCGTGGTCAGTAGGTTATATTAAATGTAACTTTCTTTGGTTAATTAAACAAGTAAAATTGTAATTATTTTGAATTTCATAAAGCGTAAATTTAGGAAAATCACATTTAGACATTGAAATATACTTCACTCCAATTTTATTACTTTATTGATTAATTATAATAACTTATAAATGTTTTATTAAAAAAAAATTTAACACTTTTAATTTTATTAAATTATATTTTATTTATCCAATTTACGACCACTAAGTTTTGTGTTATTGCAGTCATATTGGTGTGCATAGAAAACAGTTAACAGGCGTGTAATTGTCTTTAATTTGAATAAATTGAAAGAAAGAGTGTATATTTATTAATATATGTCAAAATATACAAATGTCATTTTTAATTTAATAAGAATAATTCTTATAAAACTTAAATTTAAAAGAATTTTTTACAAATATATCTTAAGAGATCAACAAATAATAAAATTTTTAATTAGAAATTTCATCAAGTTCTTTTCTAGATTTTAAACCAATTTTTAGAATATTATCTAATTTTATAAGCGATCTTTGAATTTCTTTTTCATTAACGTTATGAATATTCGTATTTTGTAAAAAATCTTCGACTACTATTCTAGGCACAAATGTAAACTCTTGGCTTGCTGTGTTAGTACATTTTTCAAACTGGAGAGGATAATAAAAAACCTTGCCATTTGTATTTTCATCACCGACAGTCATACATTTATAATTAGACATAATTTTAAAAATCCTATTGTTATCAATCGTATCGAGATAGACAAGTTTCATATTTGGATTCGGCATGTTTGACTTACCAACAAGATAGGGTGAAGCATTTATAGATCGATAGTTAGTATAATAAATGTTTGTCAACCAGAAATCATTTTTATAATTAAATCTTATCATAAACAATTGGCTCGTAAAATTTTTACGATCTATTTCTGTTAGTCTTAATGGGACTGTAACGTCTTTACTACTAGCATTAAAAATTGTCAATGGTTTATTTGGATATAAAATATTAACCAGTGCAAATGAATCTTTGAACATATCGAATGTAGTACATATAAAAGCTATTAGAAAAATTATCATATAATGTTTTTTTTTTTGAAAGAAAAGATAAATGTTTTAAAGTGAAACATGTATGCGCTTTGTTATAAAATAAAATAATTTTAATTGGCTTTTTCTTGTTTCAACATATTATTAAATGTTGTTCCAGCTGGAGTAACATAAGAATATGCACCACCAGCAAATTTAACCATACATGATCTACAAGTCCAAATACCAACTGCATTCCTTTTTACTGATGTCTTTCCGCATGCTCTACATTCATATGTTTTTTTCTGAGTTTCCAAAACTTTCTTCATTCTTTTTCTTAATGTAGATCCATATCTAGCACCAAATCTTCCAGAAATACCTACTTTCTTTGTTCCTTTAGACATCTAAGGGTAAAAAATTTGCTAAAATAACATCTAACTGAAAATATTTTTGTTTTAAGTTGAAACAATAAACATATTTAAAAATTATTTGTTTCATTACAATGATTGTATTATTTATAATATTTATTTGTTCTACAAAAGTTTATATATCACCATTCTCAGATGACTCTAAAGCATTATCCTTTACTAAACTTAATAGCGGAAATAATGTATTTGACTTTCAAAGTGTAAAAAGAAAAGATATGACTGGTCTTTATTGTCTATCGCCTATAATTGTACCAATTTCACTTGTGGATTATAGAATTTATTTTTGTGGAGAATTAATGTGTTTTAACAATAATGTCTTGACAGTGTGCGAAAATCCTAATAAAAAATCTTTATTTAAATTACAAAAATCGAAAGAATACTTTATGATTGTAAAAGACGGAATGTGTTTACATTATTTTAAGGGAAATATTTTTTTAAGAGAATGTGATGACGAATTTGCTGAAAAGCAGCTTTTTAAAATAACACCAGTACAAATACCCTTTAGTGATAATCAAGATATTGATTACGAAAAAAGAAATAGTTTAGGGGGTATAAGAGAAATAGAATTTGATCAGGCAATGCGAAGTTTTTCACAAATCCATCATAGTGAGTTCATAGAGGAAGTACTTTTTTTTAATGATAAGAGAGGTAACATACTTAGAAATACATAATATAATAAATAATTGCTTTAAGTTTCACATTGTTTTAAATCTTGTGGAAACAATAAAAGGTAAAATTATAATTAAAATTTTATTTTTTTGCAGTAACGACGTGTTTGGTAATTTAAAGCTAGAAATTACTTTTATTGTAAAATAGCTTTTTTGAATTATTTTTACCATTTTAATAAACTAAATAATATATAAAAAAATGTAGTTACTAAATTTTTATTACAAATTTTATGAAAACTATATAAAAACAGATGTAGCGAATAGACTAAATAGGCATTTTTGCGATAATTTTATAGTATTTGTTAATAAAAATTGGAAATTAAGGACAATTTTTTATTAAATTTATCAACAATATAAGCAAGAGAAAGTTTTAAAGCAAAAATCTGTTTAATTTTATGCATAAATGCTGAAAAAAATACAATCATAACATATAAACTTTAATTTTTCGATAAAAAATTATTTAACTGGTCTTCAATTTCTGTATTTTTACCATTTAAATGAAGAAGTTCATCTTCGTCAAGTTTTTCAGGAGCTTCTTCAGCTCTTACGAGGTTATTAATTTTTTGTTTCTTTTTTTTAATTTTTGGATAGAATGGCTGTTCGTCATCTTCATTTAAAAAATTATAATTATTTTCAGCTTTCGAAAAAAGCACAGGAGGTCTTGGATTGCTAACTTTTCCTGCATATGGGGCTTCTGACAATTTTTCAAAATCTTCTTCTGGTTCCCTTTTTTTACTTTTTTGCTCATTTTCCGATGAATCTACAAATTTAAATCTTTGAAAAATTATTTTACTAGATTGGATGTCTACGCATTGTTCTATATTCAGTCCACTATTGTTAGCAGTAAGACAGCCGCTATAATTGTATATTTGATATCCTAAAATATCATGGTGTACTCTCAAATTACTTATTTTCAAATTTTGAGCAAGGTTTTGATCTGTTATATTTAGTATAAATTCATTTTTTAAATCTTTTGATGGCACCACTTCGCCAATATTTTGACCAATATCCAGTTCTCTTAATTGTAAAAAAGGTGAATAAAGACTTACTTTTTTTGTGTTTACAACATATGCAAATAGGAGAATATACATATTGTTTATTTAATGTATTTATTTTTAATTTAAAACAAAACACAAAAAATAATTTCACAGAATTTAATTTAACCTGATTTTTAAGAAACTAAAATTGTTTTAAAAAGTTTTAATGTAGCAAAATTAGTTCTAAAATTAAAGAAAGTTGGCGCATTTGAGTGTAGGCTATAAGTCTTTTTATTGATCTAAAAAAAAACTTTTGCCGTAGAAATTTGTAGTTGCAAAATATCAAAATTATAATAATTTTTTGTATCAAATCTTACTTGCTAACATTTTGTATTTACAAAACACAAAAAATATAAAAAACAAGTTTTTTTATGTCTGGTAGTAAATAAGAATAAAAAGTTATATAGCTTAAGCTTTTATTTAAATAAGAACGTGAAAATTTTTATTTAATTATCATTTAACTAAAGACGCTTTAAATTTATATAATGTAAAATAACAAATAATTGCTTCTTAATACATTTAAATTACTTTTTTATCGAAAAGTCAAGGAACCGAATTTGATAGTAACAAAAAAAATTGCTTATAATTTTAATTTATTCAATAAATATTCATTTGTGACATTTTAATGGCTTAATTAAAAATTATACAAAATTTAATTATTTAATAATTTAAAGAGGAAAAACAATAATGTTAAATATTTAACAAAAAAATTAAATTTACTTTTTAATTTGTATGAACAAATAATCTTAATTTTTTACCACCATTTGCTACAAAACATTTTTAATTTAAATCCTTTTGGCAAAGACCATCCTTTAAAATCATAATTCCATAAGTTTTTCCACAATTTTTTCATTTTAGGTTTGTTTTCAATATCTGGTATAAGATTTTTTAATACTTCATCAATTGCTTCTTCTTTTTTTTTATCGTTTAACTTTTTATTTATTTTTGGATTATTTTTTGCCAATTGCTGTGCCAATTTATTCATTTTAATTAAATCTATAGCTTCCTTTCTAGTTTGTGGATCTTTTTTAAAATTAAAATTTTCAACACAACTCATCAATTCATAGTCTTCAAATCCAAATAATTGTGATTTACTTTCTTTACACTCATCTAGTAAAAGTTTAAATCCTATAGTCAAGCATTGATCATTTTGTTTAATAATGTAGCCTAAAGATGTCAATTCTATATCCCATAAATCAACCTGCTTGTCACATGCCTTTATTGTTTTATTTCTACAGACATCACAGTCAATTTTATTAAAATTTTTATCAAGACACTTTTTGTCTGGAGGATTATAATTACAGATTTCATCTTTATTTTGACAAATGTAATAATTACCTATTTTGATTTTGTACTTATTGTTATCTTTTTCAAGCAATGCGATTTTATTATAACCTGTTGATATGTGATCCAAATTTTTTGTGTGAAAAACATTCAAACTAAAATCTGAAATGTCTTCAGCTATAATGAAATTAACATAAGGAATAGATCTAATAAGTATTTTTTTATTTAAAAGTAAATCTAATGAATAAGCTTTAATTTTTGTAAAATACAACCACATTTTTTTTTATTTACAATTTTAAATACATAAAACTTTATTTTGTTTCATTCATCCATCAGAAAAGTTCCAGCAATTTCTTCTAACTTAAATTCATCCTCTATATTTATATTTTTGTCTTTTTGTAAATTTTTCTCACCTGTTGCCTGTTTTTTTGTTTGTATTGAATACCTTTTGACATCATCTTGTATAAGATTTACATGTACATTGTGTTGATCTCCAAATTTATTTTCTGGATTACAATCAGGCGTGACATGTTTAAATGCGAATATTTGGTCATCTGTATCTACACATTTTTTCATTTTAACTGTATTATCAATATCTTTCGTAACACACTGACCGTCTTTAGAAATTGAATATCCAAAATATTTTCTATCTATAGTCCAGTTTCCCGAAGTTGAACATCTAGCTATAATATTTCCATTTTTACACATTCTAGCACCAGAAAAAAAAATTTCAAATGTTCTTCCTTCTTTAATAATTCTGGCTTTAGGATTAAAATTTAATTTCTCAAAATTAACATATTTATTGTGTGCTATTAATTCTGATCCATCATTGTCTCTTCCTAAGAAAGTTGTAGGGTAACCTGCAAAAAAGATTTTAATATCTTTATTTAAAAAATCTGTTAATTCCACATCTTCACAAAAAATAGACAAAAGTATGAAAAAAATCATTAATCTTTACTAGAGATTTTATTTATTATTTACAAGCTAAAACATAGATGTATCAATTTTTAAACAAGTGAGAGGGAGCACAAAATAATAGTATACAAAAATTATGTACTTTTATTTTAGAATAAAAAAATAAATAATACCAATGTAAAAATTTTAAAAAATATACAAATCGTTTTAAATTTTTATTTATCCTTTTTAAATTCATTATCGTTTTCCATTAATTTGATTTTTTCTATTTCTGTGCTTAAATTTTTTATATCTTTTAATAAGGTATCTACCATACTTGCCTTCTTCTTGGATTGGTTTTTAGTCGTCAAAACAATTTTAAAAAAAAGAATTTGTACAATGAATCTTTTAAATTTCATAATTTATTTATGTCTCATTTTTTATAACTTTCTTGAAACAAGATGTTTGAGTATATTTATTTACGGAAACGGAATTTAAATAATTTATTTATATAGATAAATTGCTAACTTTTATCAAATCAGTCAAAACAAAATTAATTAAATAATAATTCAGATCAAAAACACAAAGAAATTTTCATCAACATTTAAATTTAAATTAAACAAAAAACAATAGTTTTTGAATTAATAAAGTTTCGTCTGCATAGGCACAGGTTAACATTTTAAAACTCAGAAGTGCTTTGACCTTTATTTTACCTTATTTTAAGAAATTTGTCATAAATTAAGTTATTTTAACAAAAAAAATAAGTTAATAGTATTATGATTTGGGATAATATTAAATTTGTACGCTACGAGTTTAAAATTAAAAGAACTCATAAAATTACTATTTTATTTATAATTTGAGATGTTATTTAAATTGCTATCTAAAAAACTTTTTTGATTTTTTTTACAAACTTTAGACCAAATTAACGGCAATTATTTTTATATTTGAATTTACTATACGACCTAGCAGTATTATTGTTAAATAATGGCTTTAAATAATAATATATGCATATGTATAATTTTACCATTTTACTAGGCTTGTAGTATTAAAAAGCTTAAAATTATTAAGGATATAATTAATGCTTTATACAAATTCTAATTTAATAAAACTATTATTTTTTAATATTGTAAACAAAATAAACATTGTATAGTTAACTTGTTTTAATACATTTCACTAAATTTTTGTTATTTACATATAAAACTATAAGAATTTAGTATAAAACAAATCGTAATACCCCAATTTTGTAATAAGCTTACAAATAAAAGGTTAAAAATAAGAAACTATTTAGTTTAAATTATATTTCAATATTTAAATTTCAACTACGAATTTTTACATTAAATTTTTTATATTTAATTAATTGTTTTTTATAATTAAAACTATGCTTAATTTTAAATGGCTTTTAAAATTTACAAATTGGTATATATTAGACAGAACTATTTAATTTTCAATTCTCAAAATTTTGTAATAAATTTGTAGAGGTTGATAATTCATTAACTAAATTTCTCGGGCTATAAAAATTTAACGTTTCGTGATTTTCCAATGTAAACTTTTTTGAAACATTTGGAAGCATTATGCACGCTTTTTTCTTTTTTTCCTTGATCGTTGAATATAAAAAAATGACTTTATTTATCAAAATATTATATTTAAGTGGATCAAATATCTGCTTAACTTTTAAAAAGCAGATATCATCTAGTTCAACACGTATATTTTTAATAATCGAAATATACAATAACAAGATATCTGAATTTAAATTATTATAACAACCTAAAAAACTTAGTTCATAAATTAAACGATAACTATTAAAGGCTAGAGATCTTAAAAACTTAACCGAAGAATAATTGGCAATGACTGTTTCATTCTTTATAAAGTTCAATACGTAAGATTTATATCTGTCTTTTTTTAATAAATTTTTCTTAACCTTTCGCTTTGACTTTAAAATATTATAGGCCCGTTTAAATGACGAATGTTTAATCAAAATTTCAAAAAATATTTCGGATACTTGGTCTACATACTTAATATTCATATTTTTTACGTCAATATTAGATATTTCAAATTTGTAATTATGGTCACAAGTACTGATATTTTTTACGGCTTTTTTAGAAACAAGTTGTTTATCTTTTGCACTCTTATCTTTTTTTTCGTTATTTTCGCTATTTTTTTTTCTAAAGACTATAAATTCGCTCCCCGTTTTACTTCCAAAATTATCCAATAAATAAGAAAATCCAGAAGGATCTTTATTTTTTTTGACCATGTTTGCATACGTTTTTTTAACCGTCTTTAAACATTCATCAGGATTTTCAAGGCACTCATTATATTTACTGCATAGAAAAATACTACTACAGCAGAAGATTATAAACATTAGGGCACAAATTTTTTTTTAATTTATACTTTTTAAATAATTACTTTCACATTTTTTTTGTCTAGGATTAGTAGTAAAGCAAAATTTAAATAAAGTCCGTTTCATTTAAAAGTAAATTATTTTAATTAAATATTTCGAAAATAAAAAATTAATTAAATTTTACAATACTAAAAATATAATTCCAATTAGAAAGCAATTTCTAGGAAACTTATAAAAATTAGTTCAATTTATGAAGATTTTAAGCTTTATAGAAAATAAATTGAAGTTTTTAAAAAAAATTTTATTAAAATTAATGTATAATAATTGTTTTTAAGCATGTGCAATTATAAAATTATTATGAATTATGTTTGACAGCCTAAAATTAAATATTTAAGCTTAATTATGACACATAACCACAAAGATATAGTAAATAATCTCAATTTATTGGTGTTTAAACCATTAAAATTTAACACGAAACAAATTATTCAATATAGCGAAACAAAAATTAATCTTAACAACTTATATTTTTCATTATAAAAGATTAAACTATATTAAATATGAGTTATTAAAGCAAGCAATAATTATAAATTTGTAAAAAAAACATTCTTCAAGCAACTATTATTTACTATGTCTTCTTGTATAACATCTTTAACTTTACGATTATGCAATTTACAATCTAAAAATTAATTTTTTTGTTTGGTTGTAAGTAATTTTAAAAAAATGGTCATAGCATTTTTAAAATTGTTACTTGCTTTCTACACTTGCTTTAGTATAATTATTCACTTGACTTAATTTTATTGTATTTTTATTTTAAAAATGAAAAAACTAAGTTAATATGATTAAGCTAATAAATTTATTATTTGTATTATGAGATGCGTGTTACAGATTTAGCATCTTCCCTTTAATATCTAAATTTACTTAGTCTTTACCTTTTCAGATTCTACTTCTATCAACAGCTTAAATTTGAAACTCGATAGCATTATTGTTTTTTAAGGATGCATTGAGTACTTTCATCTACAATAAGCTTCTCCTTCATTTGGCTTTAATTTCAAGTTCATCGGCGTTGTGACAAAAAATAAAAATTTATTTTATTAAAATGTGTTAAATTATTTTAAAAAATAAAATGATTAACAATTTTTAAAAATACTCGTTTTAATTTTTATAAATATTCTCTTTGTAGGTTTTTTACTGATTGATTAATTAAACTTAATTTTAAGCTTTTTTTACATCACAACTATAGCGAGTATATTTAAGACGAGCGGCATCCTCGTAGATTTTCTAACCAGCAATTTATACTCCACTTTATTTAAATGACTAAATACACTTTTTAAATAATTTTGTAAGAAAATCAATGACGTTACTTGTTCTGAAAATTTTATTCTCTACCAAAATTTTATCTTTAGAGGTAAATTTTTTTTAAAAACTTATACATATGAATAAAATTTATGGTGCATAACATTTATATAATTTTTAAAATTTAAATTGAAAAATACAAATGATCAAATTTTAAAATTACAAAAACTATCTTTATAAGGCGCTAACAAATTTTTGTTTTTTTACAAGTCTTAAAAGTAATTATAAATGTTTTTTTTTAAACAATAATTAATTTTAATAAAACAAACAATCACTTATAAGATTATATAGAAATTTTAGTCTTAATATTTCATATTTTTTAATTTTTAATTAGTTTAAGAGGTTCTAAATAAATTAAGTCTTTAATAAGCTTATCGATTATAATTGGCCTTTATTTTTGGTATTTTTTATATAATAAATGGAAAATATACTGTATGCTAGAATTGCCGTTAACAAATAAAATTGTATAGAGATATTACTGTAATTTGAGAACGACAGTAAAGCTTAGTCTAACGCTATGTTAAGTTATACAATTTTCAAAACAAACATATATTTTCAAGAATATTTTATTATTTGTAACTTTCAAATCCATACTAAAAATTGTTTCATCATTAGCTGTTATCATTAAAATTCCAAAAACAAAATGAATGTTAGATATTGTTATAAAATAAAACTTAATTATGAAAGTTCTTACAATGAATATTAAATTAAAATTGTTGAACCAATATTTTTGTGAAGTGTAGTTCAAAGTTCTTAAATCGCCTGATGTCTATAAAATTTTAAAACACGATTTTGATAACGGTTCTTACAAAGTTAACAATTTAAATTACTTCAAGAAAGCGTGCTGTCGCGCTATAAATTGTGATTAGACAACTCATAATTTCAACAACATGGAATTTAGTGGGTGGAGTAATTAGATCATATCCTCATTTGTTACTTTATTTTAAAATAAATGAAAGAGATTTATTTATAAGTTAAAATATTATGCATTAAATAATGAGAATAATTAAAGCAAATTATTAGCAGAACGATATTAGAGTCAGCTTCTTACTTAGCATATTGTTTAGTAAAGAGTGCAAAATTAAGTAAACAAACATTTGGTGGAAAGTCATATGCTAGACATCATCATGATACATACGTACCGTAACATATCCTTAATGGGTGATTGTGTTTCATTAATCATTTCCTTAGTTCAAAAATGTTAGCGCAGTATATTGATGCTCAATCCTACCTCGGCCATCTGTAATATATCACATAAACTGAAAATTATTTATTTAAAAGTTATTATAATTATATTCTTTTTTTTCTTAAGCTGTTATCATTGACCTTAGACAAACAGTACTTTGCTGGTCTTCTTCTTCGGTTTCTGCTATCACCTCACATCTCCGGTACTTTACCGAAATGTCTTCAAGGGTTTTCTCAAAAGTAATTAATTGAATATACGCTTCAATTTGATCGGTAATTTTAAGCTCATTTCTGTATTAAGAGTGAATTTGGTCACTATACCGTCCCATGTTGTCATGTAAGGAATATTTTAGTCTTAGAACCATGCAGTAGAACGAGTTTATTCTCTATTTCGTCATATTTTTTAAGTTTTTCAGACTCGACTTGTTGTAGGCTATCGAAAGATGTCATTCCTATTTCAACTATCAATAACTCCTTCTTATTTTTATATATCACCAGAATATCAGGTTTGTTGTACCTGATTTTGACGTCAGTCTTTGTGGTCGTATCTACTCTTATTTCTACATAATTATTTGCAAATATTTGTTTAACTGAATGTCTTCTAAGTTTCTTTCTTCCTGTGTTTATATTAAATTTATTGCAGAGAAGTAGATTGATGCATTCGCTATTGAATTGTGTCTACGAATGTAATCATGTTCCAACATCTTCTCACATCATATGGCCATATGATCTACTGTTTTCCTTGATTGGCTACAGTGCGGGCACATGCATCCGTCATTAAAGAAAACATTTCTGTCTTGTAAAAAGCACAATTTTGCTTCATGTTTAGCATGATTGTTTCCTTTTCTAAGCCATTTCAAGGATTCTTTGATTTATACAACCTCATATTGAGCACTCTTAAATAACTTTTTGTGTAAATTTTGTTTAAAATTTTGTCATTTAATATTCTTTTATGCCTAGAGCAGCTGGTCAACATTAGCATATTCTATTGCAATTTAACTTTTAAGTAATCTTCTATAGTAGGAAGCTAGGTAAAAGCTTAACTTTGAACAGATAGAAGCGCCCCCTTTTTTTCATATCATTTTTATTGCTTCGAATTTTAATTTCAGGTTAAGTAGCATTGATTCTGCTCTGTATTCAATGCAGGCTAGTACTTTTCCGAGTTCTTGTCTAGGAAGGCATATTCTCTATTACATTTGGTTGTAGATGTAAACAATTACGGATGAGGATTTGCTATAAAATAAAAAATATATTTATGGTTATGCGTTTATTCAATGATATATCAGAAACCATTATCATTATTAATTTTATCTTTGATAGTTTGCAAAAACAAAGTTATAAGGAAATTGATATTTTTTGTACACATTCGTAAAGCCACACGCTTTATGTTTGCCTTCTTTGAATAAACTAAGTTTAAAAATAAAGTATTCATATGCTTTTTAAAGGCAATTACGATATAGATTATAATACGTAAAAACCATGAAAAAGAATTTACTTAGCAAATTGTCCTGTAATAAAAAAAGCCTTTTTATGTAAACAAAAGTTATTTATTAAATCCTTTATTACAGTTCTAATTTATTCTATTCTCATATCCGGCTTATAATATATTCTTTCTAGAAAAATTTCTATTGACAACTATTTACTAAAAATTGATTTATTTTACATTTTTAGTAAAAAATTAATTTAATTTAAGTTAATTAAAAAGCATTGTACAGCTTAAAATAAAGTCTAAACATAACTTGTTACAAATTTAAAAACATGAACATTGGTGAAAAATATGCAGTTTTTGTTTATTTATATAAGTTGTGATATTTTATGTCATAAAAACAATTTAATAAAGTAAGTTTCTTTTGATTTTTTAA